TATAAATGGGTTTTAATAAAATTGGCTGCTTTAATAGCATCATCTACATAGCTTTTTTCTCCTAAACCTTGGCCTGCTTGAGCCAATCCCGCAATGACTAGTCCATTCCATGAACAAAGCATCTTTGTATCTAAATGTGGACGAGGTCTCTGTTGACGTTCCTCATACAATGTACTGATACAGTCTGATATCACTTCCTCAAATTGCTCTGAAGACAGTCCAAATTTTGTCATTGTCTCTTCTTTACTTCCATATACAATCAAAACATTTTTATTTTCTAGTTCACCATGAGGATCACTCTCAGGTGATATATTACCACTTTCTTCAACGCTAAAGTAATCACAAAATATATCAAAGTATGAAATGGAGTTCACGTTTTTATTGTTGAGAAGAGATTTTAATTCATCGTATTCCCAGACATAGAATGCACCTTCTTTTTTGTGTGGAGCACCATGATAGGGATAGGAATCCGCATCTTCTGCACTGTAGTAACCACCAGATTCATGTCGTAGATCTCTGTTTACATACTTGATAATGTCACGAACAACATCTGCGTAAAAATTATCTTTCGTAGCCAGGTACGCATCTGTATAGGCAACAATCAATTGGGCTTGATCATAAAGCATTTTCTCAAAGTGAGGTACATGCCAATCATTATCAACAGAGTACCGTGCAAACCCACTTGAGACATGGTCATGAATGCCACCTTTTGCAATTTTTGTCAGCGTATACAGACACATTTCAAGACATTTCTTCCCTTCTGCATCTGATTTATCACGAGCATAAAAATGAAACAGAAAATTAAAGATGGATGCTTGAGGAAACTTTGGAGCCAAGCCAAATCCCCCAAAGTGTGGTTCATACAAAGAAATATATTTACGGACACATTTGGTCCATGTAGCCTCACCAGGTACTGATGATGATTCTGGTTCACCAATAGATATTTTTTGCAGCGACTCCAGGATGTTAATGCTGGCATTAACAAATTGTGAATTATTTTCTTTCCATTTCTTTGCCAGTGACAAAAGGATGCTTTTAAATCCTGGGCGCCCCCAGCGGTCTTCAGGTGGAAAGTAGGTGCCTCCAGTTACAGGTATTAGATCTGGTGTAAGAAATACCGACATTGGCCAGCCACCTCGTCTGGTTGAAGCCATAACAAATAGCATATAAACACGATCTATGTCTGGTCTTTCTTCCCTATCCACTTTTATGTTAATGAAGTGCTCATTCATTACCTTTGCCACATCTTCATTCTCAAAAGATTCCTTTTCCATCACATGACACCAATGACATGTGGAGTAACCTACTGAAAGAAATATTAGTTTGTTTTCTTTTTTAGCTTTCTCAAACGCTTCCTTGCCCCATGGGTACCACTGCACTGGATTATGTGCATGTTGAAGCAAGTAAGGTGACTTCTCAGATATAAGTTGATTTGTGTACTTTGGTTTTTCTTCTTTATTAGATGCAGCACTTGCATTGGACATTTTTATTGTATTGTCGCTAAAACTCCTTTTCAGTGTATCCGAGCATAAATGATGTCCAAATGTTGTTAATCTGATAAAAAAAATATGAATGAATAATTAATTCATTGTATGATGATCATCATTGTATGATTTAAAGTAGGAAATTTTTATGTTGATATTTTCCATGTGAGTATATAACATAGAGCGCAATTAATTACATTTCTTTTAAACTATGTACAACTTTCATTTTTTGTATGACTATTAGGATGACCAAAGCATTAGTGATTAGTCTTGAGTCTGCATTTTTTAAGAATTGTTGTGATTGTTTAAGAATTTTACTATTAAGGTTTTGTTGAGTTTTTCAGTTCTCCATTAATATGGGAATGTTAACCTTTGTTTACTTTAGAATTTATAGTAATTCCGAATAAAAACAAATGAACTTCAACCAAAACAAGGTCACGTAATAACATTATTGATTGACGTATATGCATTACAATCTAACAATTAGTATATTCAAGTTACTCTGCTAAGTTATAACATACATAAACAAATAAATTATTCATTATAAATTATATAAATACCTTTTATTTGAACTGAAATCTCTATTTATGCACACCGGGTGTAAAACGGGATTTTCTTTATTTGTGCTTTGATTTATATTTAGAGTCTTTAACTTATTGTCACCCGTCGACAAACGTCGAAAGAGAAGAACAGCCCGACCACTAGGCATAATAATATTATGAATGTGTTATGGAGACTTTTACGTTGACGACATGAAAAGCGAATTTTAATGAACCTTATAAAAATAGAAATATAAATACACAGTACACACGCAAGTCAGAGTCACAAACTTCAAAACAAGAATTTAAATAATGACGTTCACGGCTCACGCTCGCAGATTAAAAAAACAGCTCAGCTAGTCTTCATAACTGTAAAAGTGTAAATATTGATGATTTAGGATGGACTAATATTCCTATTTCCTTCTAATTTAATGTTTTAATATATAATCCTCCTGTAAATCTTTTGTATATACCTTGTATGGCAATCTATTATGTAGTGTTTTTGATGCCAGGTGTGAAGTGTATTTTTAACTTAGTAATTAAGATTACATAAGTATGTACCACCATCCAGTTTGGATGAAACAGAACCCTTACAATCATTAACAATTCATTTAAATGTATTTACACTTTAACTTTTTAATTTTTGGTATACTACTCTGCATTTATTCTATTATCTCTACGAACTTGTAAGTTACTTATAGGCTTAAAATGAATTTAATATTAAACAAATAAATATAAGCAAAATGAGGGTATATTTTATTAATATATAAATAAATTAACACTTCATTACCATGAGCTAACTATAGCGCCTAATCATTTATGCACACAAGTGTTATTGCTTTACAAAAACGCGTAGGCGTATATTGTTAATATTAAAAAACACGTATGAATACTCATGAAATTAAATAATATTAAAATATTGTTAGTAAGCGTACTAGATTTTGAAATGTTAGAATACGCATGCGCGAAAAATTAGACGCCATTCCTAGTTTCATTGCAACACGGCTTGTTTTGACATTAACAATTATGTTCAATATTTTGGGTTAATGTGTCCTTGTCACGAAATGTTTCGTAATATATTAGCGGAAATGACATCAAGTGTGAACTTGCCCTTATGATATTAAAGTGATAGAATAAAAAAGGTAAGTGTCTATTTGGTTGGCTATTCATGGAGTTGGTTATGAAGTTAGAAGTCAAAGGTTGTTTTTAAATTTAATAAACAATATGCTTAATAAATTATGTTCTTGCATTTAGAATATTATGTTAATAACACAATTTTATTCTAGTGACACATGAAGTTTGACAGTAATTCTTAGATCGGCATAATATATTTATTTAAGTAATAAATACATCAGTTATGTACTTCAAAGTAATATTCATATTAGCATATTATTAATCAATTGTTTAATTACGTGTCAAATGAGCTAATATCTTCGATAAAATACAATTTTGCGAATTTAATATTGTAAAGTAATTTCTTCATGAAATGTTTAAAAATATTTTTTTGTTAATAATTGTACGTACAAAAAATAGGTTTTTACGCTTTTAATACAATTATTATTTTTTATTTAGCACGTTTCTAAACAATGTAGGTTTTTAGTGGAATATGGTTGAATACTTGCCTGACTTGAACAATATCCGAAGTTCGGTTTCCATAGCAACTACGAGGGGTGTGAAGCCAATTGATGGCAATAGTTAGGGTTCGCAACAACTTGCTGTCATTTATAGTACGTTAACCCCGGTTTAGATATAAAGCTTAAATGTTGATTGAAATATAAAACTAATAAAAAAGTCACTCTCAATATAAATAAAGTATAAGATTATGTTGAAACCAAAAAAGGGGAAAACATTATAATAAGCCAAGCTCACTAGACTGCGATATTGGCATATATGAAATCTACGGAAAACATCGCTTTTTTTAGTCTTCACTCACGAGCAAAAGGTTTATGTTGCCGGGTGCTTTACGTACATTATATTATTATGTAGGTATGGGGACCCATACTCGGAACTACAATTTGTGGACAACACAAATTTTAGTTCCGGTTCACGCGTGTGAACGCACAACACATTGCGTGGGGTTAGTTGGCTAAGTCCATAATTATATAATTGTGCCATCCGCACACATTTCTGGAAATCGAACGAGACGAGATCAAATTTGTCTACGTTCACTCTTTAAGGACACACCATGGTTGACAAAACGGTGCCACCAGACAGATACCTACAGCAATTAACGTCTTATTAAGAATGAAGAGTACGGGCACAAGGGATCAAATTTTTAAGTAGTTTCTTATGCTACGCTTAAGAAGTGTAACTTTTTATGTGCGTACATAAGTACATACACGTTTTTTATACGAAAATCTGAGCTTGAAACTGTACTTGAAATTGTATAATAAAAATAAATATTTGTTTTAGCCAAACCCGAGTGTATGAATCGACTTCTAGTAGCGGTTGGAAGGAAAAACGAGAGAGAAAGAGAGAGAGAGAGAGAGAGTTAAATTTTAATTAAACCCTTAAAGTTTATATTAGATAGAATTATAATAGATATAGAAATTTGCTGAACTTTCAGTTTATTTGTGACCGAAACCAGTACTCTGAATTGTTTTTATTGCTACATTGTGCATTAAGCATCTGCATATTTTTGTTGCAGGTGCACCGGTAACAGGATAAAGTACTGATCAACTGTTGTGCCTTAACATTTCCTCCACCCGCCTATTGCACTTGTTACTATTGGCATTACATACTTGTAACTACTTTAAATAGTCTTTATTATATATCAAATTACGCGACCAACTAGTCCACGTACCTGTCCGAAAAAACGAATTTCCGATTATATATTGAACGTTACTATTTCAAGAGACTACGCCGTTTTAAACGCACTGGAAAGCTATAAGATTTTATGAAGACATCGTACAAGCGTGCCGATAAATTACGATCGTGAATCGAAGGGGGAAGTTGTGTGGATGGTGTTGCCAGCAAGATGTCATTGTGGGTGGGCGGTGGGTGCAACGGCGGCGAGGTGGGGGGCGCGCACGTCGCCACCGCCACTGTCATGTCGACCAACACCTCCATGGAGTCCGGCATCGAGGCGGGGGTCCTGCCGACGGTGACGGGGTCGCTCGCCTCGGCCCGGGACTCCCTGGGCTCGCTGTCCCGCGCGGCGGAGCAGCTTTACGACACAGACCATACGGACCTCGGCTCGGAACTGGACGAGGCGGAGATCAGAAGGGAGCTGATGCACGACGTGAGTGCGCTGATAAAGTTGTTTTAAAAAAAAAATATCGTCTTAAGATGATAAAAACTACACTTTGGCCACTGCTCTCTTGCTTATTCACATATTAGTCCAACGATATGTTATTAGGTCATTTGGTCGTGGTGAGTTTTACCCTAGCAATTGGTTGCATTTCCTTTAATCGAGAGCGAAAATACAAGGTTAAACGCTTCATTAACTATCTATGCCTTCTTAAACTATGTTTCAAATTCCATCTCGCAAACTACGCGCGGCGATTGAACACTCATTTTCTTAAACGTGGTAGAGCCACGCAGCACTTTCTGTTGTTACCTGATGGTATCGTCCGGGGAAGTACCTGAACCTCACAGAAGGCCTAAGAGCCGTAATAGTTTAAAGTTCGGGCATCCGCTTTTAATTCAATTACCCTTGGTACAGAGGAGTCCATTGCTTGAGGTAACCAAGGCCTACCTTCTTAATGACTGGAAACGCAAATTTAGCTCCAAGAGTGTTGTAGATGTCTTCGAGTGGCAGTGATCGCTTGAGATCTTGTTACCTTAATAATCCTAGCGGCAACTTCATTGATTCAATTCTATTTTTGCATATTACATGCACACTGAGTTTATTTACTGCTACTTCTGCCACTTAAATTCCTCTAATTATGAATGGAATTATTTAGATATGGTGTATTTGAAAGTCAATACCTAATTTTTGAATTGGAAAATGCAGATGATTAAAAAAAAATTCCTTATTACAGAAATGGCGTCTCCTGTTTGATCGGGTAAGTAATTAAAAACTATGATTATGACTATATATATTATGATAATGTTTGTAATTTGTCACGGAACTAAACTTTCAATTAATAATATGTTTATTGATTCAGATTGCCTTTTAATATTTGAGGTTAGGTCATTAGGTTTTCCTCATATATTTTTTTAGAACTACTTGCGCTCTTCTCAAAAATGTATTAAACAACTTGGAAAACTTTATGAAATGTCTTGAACTTCATATAAAGATTTTGATAAGCATAAAAACTTGCTAAAATATAATCACGGTGGGTTATGATTTTGTATAACCGTGAAGATAATATGAGGCGATAAATGCGGAGTTTTGGGACAAAAGGTGCAGCCTACGTGTCGTGTCAACGAGGATAATTTATTCTGTTGACACGTTTTGTTTATTTTGATGCGACATTTGATTTTGATGCTGGTTGAAAAAAAAATAAAAAAGGCATTTTTTCATCTCAGAATGATCATAAACATAATGTCATTAGAATGGATAGAAAAGTAGACACAGGAGACACACACCTATGCATAATAAAATAAACTTCGGTTTCTTCTAAACATTTTGAAATATGTTTGGGGAACTGTTTTTTGATAGCATTGTTCAAGGACTTTTGTCCCCCATAACGTAACTGAGAAATGTCTCAATTACAGTAAACTTTGCTCGTAATTTCATGGAAAAAAGGTACGCTTTAGCAACAGATTATTTTCGTTACGCGAGCTAGTGGAAAGGCAACGGAGTAGTTAAATGGAATTCTCGTTGTCTTCTTGGTAGTTAGGTTACCCGTCAGGTTGAACCTTCATCAACTTTGACACCTTTTGAAGTCGGTTAAAAAGCAGCTTTGTCGTTTTAAGATTCATTAAGTGTGCGATATAGAATAATAAAAATTCAATACGAAGCTTCCAACGGGTTTCCGCGTAAACAAACGCATAGCGCATAACGCCGCGTCGCTAGGCCCAAAGTAAAAATTATACAATGAGCGCAGCATATATCACAAGGGCGTCGTTTTACGACTTCGGTACAAATTTCACGGAAAGTCCCTTTGTTTCCGACTGATTAAAATGTACAGAAGCGGTGTTTGTGAAAAAAAAAACGGAGAGAGAGCAGCTTTACGAGCTGATAGGGGGGCGGTAGCGCCGCGGCTCAAACGCTGCGCCATCACGTACGAGGCATTCAGATAAAGCCGGCTTCGGAGATATGGGCGCTCGGCGTCGTTTTTGTTCACCTCTTACCGGAATCGTACGCAACGTTTGTAACAGATACGCGCATAATGATGCCTGGCGGAGATGACACCCGCCGTTCTCGCGCTTTCTGTTGAGTCTGCAAAATTTTATTGTGATAGGGCCACGCGTCTGGGGAAGTACCACGGCCTCACAGACGACCAGCGTAAAGTGGACGTATTATACTTTATTTCGTGGTCTGGTGAGTGAGATATCCGGCGTCCACTTGTTAATAATAAGTTATCAACGCATCTGTGAACTCTTAGGTGCTGTACATGTCCATGGAAGGCGGTCTTCACTTGACATAGCTTGAACCCCTTCTCCATTAGCAACTTTTCACATTAAAAAAATCGTCACCCTAAGTTTCCGCGCTAGATCGATATCTTCGATTCTGTTTGATTCGAGGTCATGTTGCAGTTCGATCCGGAGGGTTTCGGCGAGATCCCCTGGCCCGACTTCCTACAAACACTCCAGAATCCGGACTTTATAGCGCAAGTGCCGCCACATAAGCACGAGGTAAATGCCGCGTGTTTTAACTTTCCGACGTGACTCTAAGATTTAAACAACATATAACTTTATGTATTATAGGGAACCGATTTGTAAAATTAAGCCATATGAAATCTACTTATTGCCAAGGCAGTGTTATAGAATAAATGGCCATCCTTGATTGTAAGCGCGTTGAGAAATGTATTGGAAATAACTTAGGTCAATGTAATTATTTCTATTATTTTAATTCAATTAAGGATAATCGATCAGGATTATTCTAAAATTAAATAAATTCCCATATTAATATTTATAGTCAATTAAAATTTTGATACCAATATACACGTGGATATGAACTAAACTCCAGAAAACTTATTGTTGGATTAGGGTCCAAAGTTAAGGAAATTTGTTCACTATTTAGTGTAGAACAGGGACGTATATTAAGTATGGTATTACGTGAATGTATAAAAATGTAAAGTGATGTGTGTTACCCTTCAGATACTGTTGGACAAAGCGCGCAGTGCGACATCAGAGGCCATCACTTTTCAGGAGTTCGTCAATGTGGTAAGTACCAAACGCTTGAAGTATTTGTATCGTTCAAACATTTGCCCCGGGATTGGATCATTAGTCTAACGGCGGCGCTCTTTGCCCCCACGTAGGTTCGATATGGTTTACAATATTACCCATGGCGGCCGTCCCCAGATACAAGACAACTAAATTAAGATGCGACCGCGATTAAGGGACTGCGCGCATCTCCCCGAGCCACTAAAGATATTCGACGCGTTCCAAAGTCTCGCCGCGTTAGAACAACCTCGCTCCTAAACTCCTAACGCAAACGTAAACGCTGGCGGCATTGGAACGTTCGTCGCGTTCGAACCGAAGTGGCCTTATATCCTTATCGTTTTCTTACTGTCCTGCCTCGAAATACGATAAGGCGCCCCACGATTTATTAGATGGACGTTTATTTTTGTATGGTAAAATATATTATCTTAAATGCGTATTAACAGTGAGCACCGTCATTCGTTTTTATTCCATTTTGATAGCTCATTGGTTCCTTTAATTGTTTTCGATCGTCGATATATATCGTTTAGTTACGAAATTATGTTTTTGTCGATTGATTCGCCATCCCTTTGTTTGATTGTTCGTTAAATTGTTAGTTTATATTTTTAAGGGCCCTAATAATGTAATAAAAATAAAGTGTTTACAATTATTATGTTATCCTAGAGATATGTGGTGACAAGGATCAAACTTACAGAAGTCTACTGGAACATTTTGATTTTACTTTGAAGATTTTGATGTTTACTTTTAAGAGATATTACTTAGAAATTGTAAAAGCAAATTTTTATCTGGGTGAAAATTTTCAGTAAAGAAATTTCAGTTCAGTAAAAGAATTTTGGTGCCTGTGAACATTCTTAATATGTCTATAATTATAGTAATAAACATATAATATAATTTTCGATATATATTAAACTCTTCAAAGTAACTATTATAAGGAACTAGATATGTGAAATGTAAGAAATATTTAACTTTCGTTATTATTTCGAAAATACGCAGGTTTCCTCACGATGTTTTCCCTCACCGTTGAGCACGTGATAAGTCGGCACTTAAAACAATTTCATTGGTGCCGGTACTAAGGATCGATCTCTGGTTGCTCGAGTAAATTCAATCTCTCGCTCGAATAAAGGCGAGCCCCCGGACACAGCTATCACGGGTCAACAAAAGGCATTAAGATAATTGTTTGCTACTGGGTTATATAAAGATAACATAAATAGGTGCAACACTATTTTTTTTTTAAATTATGTAGGTACACATTTGACGGCAACAATGTGAGACTTTTCGCGGAATTATGATTTATATTATGTGACTAATTTATTTTTATTCAACGCTAGGATGTAAAACTTTACGAATTATCAAACAAAATATTGAATTTTTAATATTTTATTGTTGGACACCACGTATAATATATTTTCAAAAGTTAATTATCAACAAACAACATTTCGCACATTATATTTTAAATGCGAACCCAAATGCAATTAAGTCGACGCGTTATATTTAAGAGGTGTTTTAAAATAATTAGGCGATCTGATTAACCCATATACATCACTTTAACGTCAAAAGGCATCTTGGCCCCTATTAATTAACGCGAAGAGGGTACACTTTTGCGAATATTAGCATAAAATATACTTAAGAAGCTCTTTATGTCGACGGAACGTGGGTAGTGAATTATTGCGTCCATGTGCGTCCCTCTTCAATAATTAAGTTATTACTTAGGAGGGTCAAGTTATACGAGCGATATTTCGCTCTTATGGCGCCTTAAATTTAATAAGTTTGTAAATTATGAGCATATTGTTTACCTCAATACTGTCGCCTTACCTTAGAAAGTGTCGTACGGCTCGGTAATTGAATTCTCAATGGGATTAACATTAGGGTTGTTACTTTTGCGTTTTCAAATGAAAACGGTTTTAAAGAACTTTCCTATTAGAATTTGGTATATGAATATCCGTGGGTCGATACATCGTGGTCTCAGAGAACTTCGAAAAGAGTCTATCTAACCTAAAAGAATGGCAATGTTTCTGCAACTCCCTTGATGTTATTAAACTCCAAAATCTGCGAGTGTTGCAACCGTCGATTTGCAGCGGTTATCACTTAACATAAGGTGAACCACCATTTGCCACCTTCTCACATAAAAAAAATTTGAGGCTAAAACTTCTAATCTCATTATTCTGCAGCCTACTTTCGGACCTCAGTGTGTTCAAGAAAGCTAAAAAGTATTAATTTAGAGCTACCAAATCGGACTTTGTTGTGACCCCTCCGGTCTTAAATTCAAATAAAGATGTCCGAGTTATTCTCACGAATGATGTTGCGCAGCGAAAAGTAGCTAAGTGCTCGCCGGAATAAAATACAAAAATTTAGGACCGTACATGGGACTCCGCCGTAAAACTTTCGCGGTATTGGATATCAAACGAGGGAAGTGTCGTCGCACGTAAAACGTTTCGCGACCAGCTCCGTACGGACAAGCGTAAATCAAAATTAAATTCGTGGCATAAAGAGACAACGCGCGGGGCCCCATTTTCGTGGGCGTCGGTGATGCGGCATTCTTATGCTAATCCCGGCGAACCGCATACGAGCGGGGTGGGCCAAATTGTTATTTATATTGTCACCTCTTTTCTCGTATTCTCTTTTCGACCATTTTTTTTAATCCGACCCCACCGAAATCCCCGGACTAAATTACTGACCGAATCCTCCTCGGTGCCTACGTAATCATAACGCTCCATTATTTATTCTGTTAGAAATCCTTCGTTGACGTTGTGTTTTTTTTTTTGCCTTTTTGCACAATCATATGGTATTGTTCGGAGTTCGTTGACCTTCTCAGTGTTATTCGTTAAATGTTTCTAATCTAAATCTTTAATAGCATATGTATATTCGTTTTTTAGTTATTACTTATAACTTACTAGCTAAAGGTGAAGGTTTTTGGATGAAATAGTTAGACATTGATTTTTTTAGTTATTATTTATTATTCTTTATTCTAGAGAATCTTCTACTATTAAAGAGCCGTGATAGCTCTGTGTTCGGGCGCTCGCCTTTAATTCAATATACTCGAGCAACCCGAGTTCGATCCCCGGTGCCAGTACCAATGAAGTTTTTAATTTTAAGTGCTTACTTATCACGTGCTCCGCGGTGAAGGAAAACATCGTGAGGAAACCTGCATATTTTCGAAAAAATAACAAAAACAAAGTCGCGAAGATATGCGAAGTCCGCCAATCCGCAGTGGGGCCGCGTGGTGGACTATGCCCTGATACCCTCTTTATAGAGGAGGCCTTTGCCCAGCAGTGGGACATGTATAGGCTGTTACTTTACTTTTTTTTTTATTCTTTATTCTTCTTATTTACACACGTGTTGTTAATTTTAATTGAATTAAGTAGTTTGATGACTCCGTGGCGCAGTTGCCAAGGTATTGGCTTCGGCGTCAGGGGTCGTGGGTTCGATTCCCACACGGGACAACTATTTGTGTGACCCACAGATAGTTGTTTCGCATCTGGGTGTTTGTCTGCGTGGAATTTATGTTTGTAAAACGTCATTACAACACAGGATAATATTATCCTAAAGTAATGGCAATGTTTAAAAAAAAATACTAAATAATGAGTCTGAATTGATCGGAATGGAAAGAATCGAAAAGAATAATTAAGGGTATATTATCAAACTCTTCTTAAACGAAACCCATCAAAATGACAGATATATTCGGAAGCCTAATGCGTTGTTGCATTTGTACGATAGTCGATGATTGATGAGGCGTCAGCGGCTCGTGCCGACTCTTTTAGGGAAATGGCACCCGCTTTGGCTGGAACGCAATTTCCTGTGAGGAAATTGGCTCACTCCATTACGCCGTAGCTGCCACCAAATGGTTTTTTTATATTAATTAACTGTTTCAAATCCCGTATTTGTAGGTTACCGTATTGTTTTCTTAGTTTAATGCAACGCGATAGACACAGATATATAAGCGCACTTGTGCATATATGTTATTCATTGCATTTATAAATTGTTTGTATGCTGGAAAGGATATAACAATAAAAGTTTGTCAACGCATCTGCAAACCCTCGGGTGTAGCAGATGTCCATGGGCGGCGGTATTTATTTAAAATCAGGTGAACCGTCAGACAGACGCGCTTGGCAAGTTTTCACATAAAACACAATGGCGTATCCAAGCATTGCTTCAAATGCTAAAAATCAATGTAGATAAAGACGTTCAGAATTTCGTCGATTTGGCAATCAGCCATTTATATTAGTGGCTAGAGCGTCAGGGCGCGAATCCCGAAGACGTGGGTTCGATTCCCACAGCGGCAAAAATCTTTTCGTTCCTTTTGCTATAAATTTTAATACATTTTCTATCCTAAAATGATTCCATGTCAGAAGCCCAGCATGAAGTGCAAGTATACTTGCACTTTCGCGTTTTGTCTGGTGAGTCGGGTCCACTTTTTTAATTTTTTTTTTGCAAAGCACTGCAAACTCTCACGTGTTATAGATGTCCATCGACGGTGGTAAACCCATGACACCATGTGAACCGCCTTCTTATTCCCCAAGTTAAGATATTAGACTAAGATATTTCACTTCTTATATAAATAATTTAGTCAAGTAGTTTAAGTTAGTTTTGATTTAAGTTTGAAGAAAGAAATAACTACGTTCACTTTTCTTGTTTATTAAAACATTCGTTATTTATCGGAAATATTGAAAATACGTCTCAATTGGAGATAATGTTCAACAACTTCATTCTTCTTCACCGAGTAGAGCATGTAAGATGGACTGCGATGATGTTTTGTCACTTGACGCGTTGACTGCCCATGGATTACGTATTAATGATTCAGGGGGTCGCCTGGGAAACAGCTACAGTACTCTGCGATAAACATTACACATCGGCCATTGAAACGAAACAATTGGCAAATTTCGGCCTTGTAGAGCATTGTCAATAGTCTGGCATAATCTATTATACTGTAAATTACACTTCAGCACACTTGTAAAACGATTGACAAACGTCACCTTGTGGTAGTTTGTAATGTGTTGCAGTTTCTCAAAGTTGTTTTTTGTCGTAACGCCATAACTTGCACAATTTTTTTTATAATCATTCAAACCCCATTTTAAAGCTTGTTTTCACCGCTTTTGACGCAAAATAGACACTTAAAACAATGTTAACATTTTCATAAAAAAATCGTGTACAATTTT